AGGTTACAACATAGCGGTTAGCAAATGGTTTGGGCCAAATTTCCTTCCTGGGGGCCCTAAACTCTTTGGCCAAAGAGCGATGGGTGTCACCACATCAGGCCGGACTCATGCTGTCTGTGCTACGACCTTCATTTTCTGTACTTCACTGACCGGATGGGCTGTCCTGAACAGGGGGCAGGGCTTTAGAGCCCTTCTCATTTTATCTTGGTCCTGGTAACCCAGAGACCCTGGAGTGCATCCGAGGAATGAGAAAAGTACAGGGGAAAGAGCCCATTTCCTGCTTTGAGAAATGTGGGTTTGAACTTGGGTGAAGTGAGCACCATTTCTTCCTGGAGATTGGATGGCTCTGGATCGAGCTTTGTGTTGGGCCTGACATGTCACTTATTCATATAATAAATATTTGTTGAGAACTTTTGGTGTGGCTATCTCTTTAACACTGTGATAGTGTAAAGGGGCAAGTGAATGGGAGGTCACAAGGAGAAAGGGGACAATGTGGGGCCTGAGATAAAAGGAGATAAGCCAGGCTAATGAGACATATGGTTGCCATGGTCCTGAGGTCAGAGCTAGGTTGTCACTGAGGGGATGTTTTAGATATGGATTGGAGAGGAAAAGGGACATATAAGTTTGTGAAGGCTTTCTGTGAGTCACCATCAGTTGGGTGTGGAATCCATGAGGTCAGTCAGGAGGAGGTTTGTCCCCAGGAAGTACACAATCAGGACCCCAGGATTTGGATGGGGCACCTAGAGAGCCTAGCAAAGGAGATGAGGGGGGAGGGTAGGAGGCATGCTTTTCACAGTGTGGGTGGGCGCTGGCAGGTGTGCCATAAACATCAGAGCAAGCGCCCAGGAGTGAAAAGAGGTATCAGCCACATTGAGAGGCCGGCTGAGATCCAGCCTGGAAACTGACCACTGAACTAGAAGTCCAGTGGGACTTCTATATTATGCCTTGGTAGTATTTGGGCATGAGGCTCAAGCCTGAAGCTCTAGAAGATAATAGCTCCTTGGCATGCTAGACAGAGACTCCAGGACAGCTTAAGGACAAGGTTGCAGAACAGGCGGAAAGCTGCAGGCACACAGCAAGCTACAGGATAAAGGAGGGTTTTTATTAAAAGCAGAGGAACAGGCCAGCCTGTGAGCTGATGGTACAACCCAGAAGGAGTGTTCTAGGTGTGAGATTGATGCCTCATCTCCCTGAAGGGCTGGGGAGCCACAGCGCAGCAACTAGATATCAGCAGCTGCAGTAAGAGAAGCAGACTGCAGATGTTTTCACAGAGAGAAGGGACAGGGTTCTTGTTGGCATCTTTAGTGATGAGGACACTTGTGGGGAGCCAGGAGTGGGGTGCTCAGTGAGTGCCCCCTGAGCATGAGAGTACCTTGGATGTGGGAGTACATGTTCTTCAGCTTAGTTTGATTTTTTCCTAGTTGAGTTTTCTCTGCTTTGGGGGCTGACTCAGAGCAAGTGCATAGCACGTGTAATCAGTTTGGGGGTCAACCATAAGGTGTAAGGAACAGGGAGAGGGGAGGGAGGGGTTCACAAGAGTGACTGCACCCTGGAGAAGCAGAGGGGGCTGGAAGCTAAGGCATGTGCATGGGTGTTTGTGTGGGTGTCTTGTGGGCATGTGTGTGTTGATAAAGGATGGGAACAGAATTGGGTTTTGAAGTTTCTTTTGTTGTGTGTATGTCTTGTGGAAGAGAACTTCAAGGACAGAGGGAGGGCAAGGTACTTGGACTTGCAAGTAGTGTAGTTATTGATACTGATATGAAGAACGAGTCTATGACAGGGTAGGGGTGTTGAAATGGGACGAGGACTACCCACTGGGGGACTGGAGGCATCCGGATGGACATAGGAAACAGGTACAAGAGGAGGCTAAGACTATGTGGGTGAGCCATCCTTGGAAGGATAAAAGAAGGAGAGAATCTGATGTTGATGAAGAAAGGAGGTTAGCACAATACTCACTGCGGCCAGGGGGTGCTGGGATATGAGGGAGGCAAGGAAGTGATGCCACCACTTTCAAAACAGGTTACAGGGAACAGCGTGTCCTATATTTTTCTATTAAGGTTATGCTTGACAGGTATAGTGGTATATACTTACTTGGCCTTTGGGAAGTGGAGACAAGAGGATTAGGAGTTCAGGGCCAGCTCTAGTTATGTCCTTGTCCTTACCCACAAAACAAAACAAACAACGAAACCAAAACAAACAAACAAATAAGAATAATGTTGTTTTTGCTTTGTTAAAAAAAAATAAAAATAAAGACTGTATAATAATACAGATGGGGGATTTGACTGCAGAAGTTTATTTCTTACAGCTCCAGAGGCTGGAATTTCAAGTTCCGGCTCAGGCAGAGGTCCTCTTACTATGTCCATATGACCTTTTGCATGCAGCTGGAGGGGCTATAGAGGACTGGAGCTCTCTGATCCCACTTTTTATAAGAACACTTATCCAAGTAGATCAGAATGCCCCCCTTCAGGGCCCATGAAACTTGATTTCAGGCGTGCACCACCACACCCGGCTGGCCCCATGTAACATTCAAGAGTTCAGGATGGGCCTGCTTTCTCAGTAATCACATGTGGAGTCAGGGTGTATGTCTACGGATTCTGGATGGGGTACACTATTATGTTCACAGTACACATTCACTACTGAGCAGTGTGGACATCAGCTGATGGATGGGTTTTTATGGAATAAAAAGGCTGTGAGGTAGGCTGAGGAGGGGGGAAAGAGGCAAACTTGCTGCAGCTTGAGCCTGATGCTACTGCAGAGTGTATTGTAGCAGCAGCAGGAAAGCAGGACCGTGCAAAGTGTAGACAAAACTATCCAAAACACCGGGATGAATATGGCCCCTAGCTAGTCTTTGCTTCTTTATAGCAGCATTTCCACATGATTGGCAATGCAAATTTGCCTGCTCCCATCATGCTTCTGGCATCACGACATACCCACACCCATAAGAACAGGAGCGAGAATAAACCTTGTTTTAGGAAAATGCCAATCCATTCCTGGAATTTCTTTCCCCACTTTAACTCTTGAATAATCCTTTCTTCTTCTAAAACTTGCCCATAAGACAGGGTATCCAAAATCATGGCCATAGGTTTTTCTTGAGAAGCCTGCCCACTTTCCCATTCGCTCCTTGAGTGTGCTCTTTCTTTCCCTCTGTAATAATACTTTCTCTTAATTCTTTACTTTGTCTCATCTCTGAATTCTTTGTTGGATGGTGCCAAGAGTTGGAAAACACTTAGTAAAGAGCATGTGGATACTGGGCACTGTGCTGCGAGCACCAGACACTCATTTCGAAGCCTTGTTGTAAGAAGCTCATTAACGTTGCTAAATGCTCGTTACACATTGGATGATGTTCACATCGATTGAATTTAAGTAATAGTGCTGCTAAAATTAATTCTGGCTGTTACTTGTTACCTTTGAAAAGTCCATCTACAGCGGGCAAGATGGCTCAGTGAGTAAAAGCACTTGCCACCAAGCCTGATGACCCAAGTTCAAATCCCAGAACCTATGATGTAAGGCGAGAACTGATAACTGGAATTTGTCCTCTGATCTCTGCCTGAACCAATACACACCATACATACAAACTAAATAAAAATGTAAAGAACGAACCTGCTAGAAGAACTCGGGCTGTGGTATGTCTGTAGTACTGTTTCCTTTTCGGTGGACGACTCCTCTAGGGCTATGATGAAGCAGTCCCACCGGACAGGGCTTTCTGGTGGCCTAGACTAGCAAGGGCAGTCCAGCTCACTATATGTTCGCTCTGTCCCGCTTCCAGGACCAGCTGACTCCACCTCAGAGAATTTTCTTGTTTCCTTCTACAACTAGGACGGATTCTACTCATCTGACTAGCATTACCCACACCGGTGTCCCCAGCTCTCTACCGTGGCTAAAATTCTGGGACTGGCCACATCCCCAACTCTGCAAACTGTCCCTAGGTGTGGCACGTGAGCCACATTTGGCTGTCCAAGCATCTATTCTAAACTTTCTTTTTACTCTTTTTTCTTTCTTTCTTTTTCTTTCTTTCTTTCTTTCTTTCTTTCTTTCTTTCTCTCTCTCTCTCTCTCTCTCTCTTTCTTTCTTTCTTTCTCTCTTTCTTTGTCTCTCTCTCTCTCTCTTTTTTTTGAGGGGGAGGAGGAAGGAGGGCATGGTCTCAAGCTTTGGTCCAGGCTGCCCTCAAACTTTGCAATCGTGCCACAACTTCCGAGGAATGGGATTACAAGAGTACACCAATAAGCTTGTTTCTGAAAGGAAATTTTTATTTTTCTGTTTCTGGATCCCAACAGCTGTCTGTCTCGTAAGCAAAGTTCTACATAAGGAACTGGGTGGACGTGTTAGGAAATTGCAAAATCTCATTCACTTGGTCTGCAGACCCACTCTTTGCAGACCCAGAGTCCCGGCTGGAGGCTCCTCCCCAACTCTCCGTGACCTCGCTCCCTCCCACGATCCGCCAACGTCAGAGTCCCCGTACCCGCGAGGGCCCCAACCCGTCTGGAGACGTGTTCTGCATGGGGCCAGGACCGAGGTTACCGGAGTTCCAGGGCTCCCAACAGGAGAGGTTAGAAAAGTGAAGGCTACAGGTGTCGGAGCTCGCGGCTCCTTTAAGAGGCTCCTTGGTAGCAGGGTCGTGACGTCATAGCAGTGGAGGGTGGAATATGCGCGTAACCGCGGCTGGGCCGGGCCAAGCCAGGGGAGGACCCGGAGACCTGACTGACAGGAATACCCCATAGGCCCCGCCCCTCCCCGCTCCTGTGTTGGCTCCGCCCCACCCTAGGCCAAGCTTCTGTGAGCAGGCCCCGCCCCCGAGCAGACCCCACCCCTAAGCCTGGCTTGCGCTCGAGCCCCCGCTCTTTCCGCGGACCCTGAGCCGAGGAGCCCGGGACTCAAGTCTGTAGGCGGTGCGCAGGCCCCGCCCTCAAAAAAGCCCCGCCCCCGGCGCGACCAGCAGCCCCGCCTCCCAGGGCCCCACCCCCTGTGGGGCGGGACTTGCCCCAGCCGGAGTCGGCGGCGGCGGCTGCGGGAACTTTCCCGGCGGGTCTAATGGCTGCGCGCGGGCCGCTGTGAGGCGCGGCGGCGAGCGGGCGCGGGGCCGCGGAGCAGCGAAGAGCCAGCGACCGCGAGGCTGGAGTCCCGGCCAGGCCCGGTCCGACCCGCCGAGCCCGCGATGCGCCCCGGCGCTGTCCCCCGGCGCAGCTGACGCCCCGCGGCCCCGCGAGACCCCAGCCCTCCCGGCCCCGCAGGAAGCGGCCGCCGCCACCCAGTCCAGCGCCCGCTCCGCCCGGGCACCATGGCGGGGAAGGCGGCCGCCCCCGGCACCGCGGTCCTGCTGGTCACGGCCAACGTGGGCTCGCTCTTCGACGACGTAAGTGCCGCGCCGTCGGATAGGGAGGGGCGGCTGCGGGCCAGGAGTCTCCCAGCCCGGGACCCTGACATCCCCATTTCCAGCTGAAGACCCTAAATTCCGGCCCTTATAGTGCCACCTATAGCCGAGGACCCTGGGCCAATTGTCTTTTGGACGTGTGACTCTAATGCCCCCTTACCCACAGCTGGGCACCCTGACCAGGAATCCCCCAGGCCCCAGATCCTGACCCGGTATCGGTGGACCCTACGCCAGGAAACTTCTAGCTACAAATCCCGGACCTTGACACCGCTTTACTGGCCCCGAGGCCAAACTCTTAAGACCCAGCTTTTGAGCCCCTGTCTTAACCCAGACTACGAGAACCCAGCCTAAGTCCGGATCCTTGACTCCTGATGCTGGTACCTTGCTGTGATCCCTGTTCCTTTCCGAACTCCAGAGCCACAAGTACTGGAATTTTGACCCAGAATGCTGGTACTTGGATGCCCTGGCCTCCAGACCTAACCACACTGACCGCAGGTCTCCCGATTCAATCCTGGCCCCTCATTCTCTGATTCCCAAAGTCTGAATTCTGACTTCAGAAACCCAGTTTTCAAATTTTGGTCTCTTGTCCTAAGCCAGAGCACACTGACCCTGAACTCCGAGTCTATCCTAAAACCTCAGATCCTATACCTTCTGCTCCCGCACCCTATTCCTCATCCTTCTTCACCATGTCCCTCCGAGCAGACCTCAACCCCAGACCTTGAGCTCCATCCTCAGAGTCCTGGTCTCTAGATCCCATCCCTCTGTCCTGTCTCCTGGGCGTCCTGATGTGTGAGGCACTCTCATTTTGCCGTGTAACTTGTAATCTCACTAGTTCTCAAATGAGGCAGCTCTATTCAAGCCCTGGAGGACTTTATATTCGTTGTTTACTAAATGAAAAGGTGCTGAAAAGCTCTTCAAGACCAGAAATGATGCAAAAGGCCTTTATCTTGTAAGACTTCTCTCTTCTAGTCCTCAGTCCCACCCTGGAACCCCGGGCTTTCTCCTCTGGGAGGCAGAAGGGAGCTGAGGCCTGGGGCACTGGGAGCTCCCTGGAGCAGGCTGAGGCTGACCTAGTTCAGCATTGCAGCCACGGTGCCACCCCACTGTTGGTACTTAAACTGCCAACCCAAATAAAGCAGAATGCGGCTCCAAGTGGCATGCTTGTTTAAGAAGAAAGGGTAATGCCACAGATGGAACCCTGCAGCCACGTACACCCCTCTCTCCCTCTCCCTCCCCTTGCCTAGGTGAACAGCTGGGACAGTGCCAGGGCTTGGATACAGGCCTGATGTAGATTTCAGGAGAGGGTCCTGTTACCTTCCTGGCAGCAGGCATGGGAGAAGAGTTTCATTGAGCTGAGTTCACTGACCGCGTGTGCTTGGTTTTTATTAGTGAAAGGCAGGCGTTATTGCCGTACTTTATTATTTTCACATATAGACATGAGAGTGTTCTAGTTCCCTGCTGGGGAGGCACTGTCGCCCTCTCGGGTTATGGACAACTCGTTGTAGTTTCACGTGTGATCGTTTTCTACAAGGGCCTGTATGGGTGTGTGCCCGTATATTTAGCATTCTATTCTAGGCCTTCCAGTAACATGTCACTGTAGCGTGGTTTTGTTCAGATGATTCAGATCCGTTAGCCGTGGCTTCAAAGCCTCAGAAATGTCAGGAAAATTAGGCATGGTGGGGCACTTTCATCTCCCAGGGAAAATAATTTTGCTGTGAAAAACATTCTTTCTAGTAATTTTTGATTCTGAGTTCTAGAGTTTTTGCTGTGTTTCAACCATCTACACACATACTTCTTTCTGTTTGGTATTAAAGTGGGTGACTAGCTTCTTTTTAGAACAGGGAGTTATTACCTAGCCCTGGCTGGCCTGGAACTTGCTGTGTAGACCAGGCAGGGATGCACCAACCTCTGCTAGGATTAAAGATGGTACTCCACTGTGGCCGGCTTAACTCACTTCTGTTTGGCAACATGTTCCCTGCATTTTTAATTTTTTCTTAAGGTTCTCTGGAGTTTTGTGCTACATTTCTATCCAAAAGGAGTGTTTATCTTGGTGACTTGCACCTAAGTTAATTCTGAGCCAGTCCCCAGGGGCAGGCATATCCTCATTGGAATGACCAAGAAGGGGCACACTCCTATTCTGGGCCATGCTTCCTTGGTGGGGGTTTGGGTGCTGTGGGAAAGAAACTGGGTAGAGAAAGCAGTGAATTCTCAAGTGAGGTAGATTTTAATTCCTTGGCTCCACTAGTCTCAGAAAGCATGCTTGGGATTGTCCGTACACCTTGGTGTGTCGTATGCCCCCTGGTTCCAACAGTGTTCAAGACCATAAAGGGGTTCTTGCTGTGGGAAACAAGCTCTACCCTGCCCAGCGCTTTCTCTGCCGCCTAAGCGAGTCCGTTCCCAGGAGGAAAGTGTCCGATTTGAAACAGTCATGCTGGCTCTGAAGGACATTTTTTCCTTTTATGCACAAGCAGTAGGTGGTTTGTTTCCGCATTTATAGTTTTGAAAGTCTTCCCTCTGATGCCCCCCTCCTCTTCCTGTTCCAGAGGTGACCCCTTTTAAAATACCATTTTTTTTAATTGGGCAGTGAACCCCGGCCTTCCCTGTGTAGCTATAGGCCCCAGCCCATGTATGTAAATTTTAATCATAGCTTTGTCGTCAGTACCCTGGGATCTCCAGAACATCTTGTTCAGCCTGCTCTTGTCTCACTAGCAATCCTGGCTGGCATCCTTGCCTGGCAGGGTGGCCCATTGCAGTTATGGAGCTGTGCTGCTGAGGCCCTTCAGCTTGCTTCTAGCCCTTTGACCTCATTGTGTTGTCCAAGTGCATCACTGTAGGCAGACTTGTTTCGTGTTCTTAAAAACTGTGGAAGAACCCTCGGGGTGGGGAAGAGAGAAAGGGAGGGAGGGAGAGAGAGAAAATGAGAGAGACAGAGAGGGAGAGTTGTACTATCAGTAGTTATTATGTTAGATGTCAGGACTGAAAATGTTAAGCACAGAACACTCAAGCAGACAAGAGTGTCTAGCTTTGAGGCAGGGACGCTCCATAGTCTCTTGGGTGGGAGTGAAATAGTTAAAGTCATTGCACAGTGTTAGGAAAAAAAAATACACAAACTTGGCTCAGTCACGCTTTGGGAGAAGAGTCTTCAGCCCGTTCTGAGGACCTCTGTCCCAGCTGGTGTCCCTTCAGAAGTATTTTTCCAGGTAGCCAGGGGCACCTCCGACTTTCTCACTTTCTAGTAGTGACTACCACAGTGCCTCTGTTTGGTTCCTAGATTGATTGGTTGTCACTGGGAGAGAGGGAGTGGGTGGGCCAGACTGTGGCTATGATTGCTCTGCTGATCCGCCTAGTGTTTTGTTGGCTGGTGCGTTTGTAGCTTTAGGATCCTGACTTGTTGACTGGTAGTGAACTGAGAAGGTGAATGCCTGCAGGCTTGCTTCAGAGTTCTCCCACCCTTACATGGTCAGGCTGCTCTGTATTAAGAGTAAGATGTCATTTGGAGCTGGTTTCTTGCTTTGCTTAGTTAACTCCCAAGAGACCCTTTCCAGGCAGACAAGGTCTTGCAGAACTGGCAGTGAGTGTTCGTGGGGACCAAAGGTTCCTAGTCAGTAGGTTTTCTTGAGCCATGGGATGGAGAGAGGCAGGTCAGAAGTGCTGTGGGTGGGTAGACTCCAGGCAGGCACCTTGACCCTCTTCCCTCTCCTTCCTATCTTTTTGGATTTATCATCATTGCCAGGTTTTCCCCATCAGTGTGCAAGGGGCTGTAGTTCTGTCCTCCATAGCAGCCTTTGGGAGGGCAGTCGCCACCTCACTCCTCTACCCAGGTTCTACCCCACTCTTCTTTACTCTGGGACTCTTGGTCATATCCTTGCAATCAGCTCTAGGACATTCAAGTCACCTCAAAAGAAAGCCCTATACATTGGCTATCACCAATTGCTACTGCCCACGACTAGTATGATACCATTTCTTTGGATTTGTCTATTCTGGAGGTTCCTGGTTCCTGGACATAAACCTGTAGAGCATGTGGCTTTTGTGTCTGGCTTTATTTATTTATTTATTTATTTTTTAACTTAGCAAGGAGTCATCAGAATTCTTCTTGTCATAGCATACCTCAGTGCTTCTATGGATGGACATTTGTCCCTGTTGCTTGTGTTTGTCCAGTGATCAGTTAGTGGGCATTTGGACTGTTTTTGCATCTTGGTTGTGAAAACTGTTGTGAAACTCTTGTATATGTGTTCTATGGATGGGTGTTTTCAGTTCTCAGAGTGTGTGTGTGTACCTTGTAGAAGACTTACTGAGTTTTGAAGAAACTGTGTCCCGCCTCTGTAGGAGCCACATGCTGTCTATACATGGCTGTCTCATTTTCTTAAAAAAAAAAAAAAAAAAAAAAATATATATATATATATATATAATATATATAAAACTATTCTAGGTGTGAGTTTTGCCTACGTGTATATATGTATAGCACATGTGTGCCTACTGCCCGTAGAGGTCAGAAGAAGGCTTCACATTCTCTGGAGTGGAATTATAGGCAGTTCTGAGCTGCTATGTGAGTGCTGTAATCAAACTTGGGTCTCCTTCAAGAGCAACACATACTCTTAGCTACTGAGCCACTCTCCAGCCCCCTGCCCCCTATCCATTTCATGCCTCCCCTAGTGGTTCTTAGTTTCTTCACATCCTCCCCAGTACCTAACCTATTGCTCCCCCTCTTCCCCCCAAGACTTGACTTCTTGGGAAATCCTGTCCTTGCTTCTCCTTTCTCACTTCTCAGGGTGATATACCGAGGTCAAGCCAGACCTTCCCTGGACATGTTCAATTTCGGGTCCTTACCTAGGTTCCGTTTCTCTTTGTGATGCCCAGAACTTCAGCAGAGAGGTTGAAACTGAGGCCAGGATGGCCTTGTGCAGCACAGAGGGCCCAGCCAGGCCTACTGCAGTCAGCCTCCACAGAAGACCAGCACTCTTTAAAAAGTCATTTTTAGGAGC